TGATTAGGAGAAGCTAGAAGAAACCTTCCCCGGCAAAGGGGAACGCCGTCAAAACGAAGATTGGAGGCGAGGGCCTATGGTCTGTGGATGTTCGCGCTGCGGCGGAGGAGCCTCTCCACGGCCCTGAATCTCGATTTCATACAAATATGGAATTGCGAGGCGACCAGAGCTCATATGCAGTGGAGACTCGATGATTCCACCGGGCCCGTGCTCCATGTTGACGAACTGGGAGAACAGCTGCAGCGGAGAACTGTTGCCGGTTAAATATGAGTCTAACTAGTTGAAATATAAAATCTAAATAGTTGAAGAAAAGTCAATATAAAATAAATATGAATATATATTGTAGGGATGCCATTTGGTTTACCGGTTAACCGAAAAGTCCATATAAAATAAATATGAATATACATTGTAGGGCTGCCATTTGGTTTACCGGTCGTCGGTAAACCAAATGGCAGCCCTACAATGTATATTCATATTTATTTTATATTGACTTTTCTTCAACTAGTTAAACTCATATACTCATTCTATTATCACTATTTTTCATTCATCAGGTATTTTCTCTTTATTTTATTATAAAATTTTCAGTCATTTGTTTCAAATAACATGTAAGGGTGGGTCAATTCCCATAGGCTCTATTTCCTCAGCAACTGAGCTCAGCTGGCTTTATGCACAGGCATTGTAAATTGTTGCCGTCAGGAGGAAAGAAACAGAAATAGATAGTCAAGATTCAAGCACCACAAATGTTTTACGTTTGTAATGCCCTGTGTAACTTATGTGCTCGTATTGCGTAACTAGCTTTTGTAAGCAATAATTGTTGGATAAATTTCATGGTCATTGAGATTAATAAATTATGTCATGTTTAGTCATTGGAAAAAATTAATATCAATTTTGGTCACTCGAATTACTGAAACATGTCACATTTAGTTACTCTCCCGTTAGTTTCCATCCAAATCTGTTAATGGAGTTGGACTGAGGCTAACGGAGAATGACTAAATATGACATGTTTCAGTAATTCGAGTGACCAATGTAGTACAAAGCGCGATTCTACCTAGAAGCAGAAAATGGGTAAAATCGTAAAGCGTAGAATCAAAGCGTAAAAGCGTAAGTTTTTTACGCATGTTGTAAAATGGCTAAATATCTATTTTTTTTTTTTTTTACAAAAGATAATCATATATTGATTCAAAATAATAGGCAGTTACACCCTGGAAGACAGCCAGGTCTGATAATTAAAGGAACGACTCAAGGCCGGGTACAAAGAAATGGCTTTTCTAGCCACCAAATGGGCAACCCTATTACTACGCCGACCTACAAACCGAAAACTAAACCCAGGCTGGAGCTGGAGACAATTAGCAATTTCTTCAAGAACAGCACCCATCATGTTGTCTCCATGATCCCCTCGATTGATCTTATCAATAATGACTTTGGCATCGCCTTCAAAACGAACATCCGTCAGGCCCAACCGTTGACACCAAAGCACAGCCTCCCGTAGCACCAACAGCTCCACCACCATTGGATCATCAATAACCGCAAATTGCACTCCCATGGCCATACTAATCGCCCCTGTAGGAAGCAGAAGAACCATTCCTCCTGCCGAATGGGATCCCCGTCTAGTGGCCCCATCCCACCTATAGACCATACGAGGATCACCCACATCCTCCAGCTGGTCCTGACCAGAACTAGGAGGAGGAGCCTGAGAGACGGATCGGGCAGGCAATCGAACCCACTCCTCATACTGCTGGAAGAACTGACGCATCAAAACTGGGATCCCAAACTGTTTCCCTTCAAACACCACCCAGTTACGCGAGCGCCAGATTCGCCAGAGGATGGCAACAACCGCCATGAACAAAGTAGGTTGATTGATTAAGGCCAGAAGCTTTTTAAGGAACAAAGGAAACGTATGACGAGGCAAACCCTCCCCAAGGTAGTTCAATCCCGAGTAGTCCCATAAAGCCCGAGCCACCGGACAATCGAGGAACAAATGCTCTAACGATTATGAACTATCCCAACAAACCCGGCAACGAGGATGGACCGGGACCCTACGCTCAATGAGAGCCTCAATAGTTGGGAGGGATCGAGAGAGGAGCTGCCAGACGAACACCTTCAGCTTAGGGGGAATGTTTGCCTCCCACAGACGAATCCAGCTAGCCTTATCCATCCAGCTGACCGAGTCTTTCCACCCTCCGTTCCGCTTATCTAGTAAGACAGCAAGGTGATAGGCAGATTTGACCGAAAACACCCCATCAGTAGTATTATGCCAGATCAATCTATCCTCCACATTCTGACGCGGGAGGGGGATAGCTTTGATGGCTTTACAAGTATCCGGATCAAACCACTGCCTAAGCTTGTGTTCACACCAACGCCCCTCCCCCTGACAAATAATCTCGGCTACGACCGGGTCACCCCCATTAGGAAACACACAAGGATTGTATTGCGGAGGGTCCAACTGGAATTGTGGGATCCAATTGGAATTTAATAACGAAGCCGCCCGCCCATTACCGATTTGCCATCTCAACCCTTTTTCCAATAGCTGGCGTCCAAAGAGAAGGCTCTGCCACCCCCAAGATGGACGGGAGCGAGCCGTTGCGGTGAGGAAGGAACCATTGGGGAAATACTTGCCTTTGTACACCTGGGCCAGGAGGGACTGGGGTTCAGTCAATATCCGCCAACCAATTTTGGCCAAGAGAGCTTGATTGAACTGCTCAAACCTGCGGAACCCCATCCCCCCGTCATGCTTAGTCCTACACATATGTCGCCAGGAGACCCATCAAATTTTCAGGTGACCCTCTGCCTCCCCCCACCAGAATCTAGCCACATGCTTGTCCAAAAGATGACAAAGCGAGACTGGTAATTTGAAGCACGACATTACATGCAGGGGCAAAGCCAAAGCAACAGACTTTATAAGGGCCTCCTTAGCCGCCCATGATAGCGTCTTTTGCTTCCATCCTTGAAGCTTAGCTAACAATTTCTCCTCCAAGTACCTGAACGTAGCCATTTTAGACCTAGCGAACAGGGTGGGCAGCCCCAGGTATTTATCGTGGACTCCTACTGCCCCAACCCCCAGAATCGTAGCCATAAATTCTTGATCCGCCAGTACTATGTTCTTACTGAAGCAAACCGCTGACTTTTCCAGATTCACCCTCTGTCCGCTCAATTCTTCATACTCGTTCAACACCTCGATCAGGTTCTCACATTCCTGCAGGTTCCCCCGCAGAAACAAGTATGAATCATCAGCAAAAAACAGGTGAGAAATTCTAGGGGCACGGGGGGCCACCTTCACACCCTGAAGCTTCTTCTCCGCAATTGCCTTACGCAGAAGAGCCGTAAATCCCTCAGTGCAAATCACAAACAACAGCGGAGACAACGGATCTCCCTGCCTCAGTCCCCTGGAAGGCGTAAAGTATCCCGAGGGGGAGCCATTCATAAGCACAGAAAAAGAAGAGGATCGGAGGCACTCAAGAATCCATCCCTGCCAAACAGAGTTAAAACCCATCTTATTCATAACTCCGAGGAGAAAGGGCCATTCGACTCTATCATAGGCCTTTTCCATGTCAACCTTTAGAGCCATGTACATTTTCTTGCCCCGAGCTTTGATTTTCAAATAATGCATTAACTCATGTCCAAGGAGGATGTTATCAATTATCTGGCGATCGCGGATAAAAGCATTTTGGCCCTCTGAGATAATTAGAGGAAGGATGTTCGCCAGTCTTTCAGCCATAATCTTCGTTATAATTTTGTAAACAAATTGGCACATACTGATTGGGCGCAATTGCCGCATAGTCTCCACATTGTCCACCTTCGGAATCAAAGTAAGCCAAGTATGATTAAAGCTTTTAAGCATCCGACTCGTCTCAAAGAAGGAACAGACTGCAGCAATCACAGAGTCCCCTACTACATCCCAGAAAGCTTTAAAGAATTTGCCCGTAAACCCATCAGAGCCCGGGGCTTGCTTTGAGCCCATAGCAAACACAGTCTGCCGTACTTCACAGGGAAGGACTTCAGCCGTCAAGGCAGCATTCATCTCAGGGGTAACACTCAGAGGAACAGGGAGATTGTCTACCCTCTCAGCCATACTCGGGACAAGCGTCTCCGAAGTAAAGAGCGATTGGTAAAAGGATGTGGCAATCTCTGCCTTCCCCGGTTCCTCAGTGACCCAATCCCCATTTTCACTACGGAGCCCTGCAATGAAATTACGCTTACGCCTAGCACGAGTAACCGTGTGGAAATAGGAGGAGTTTTGGTCCCCCTTCTTCAGCCACCGGACCTTGGACTTTTGTTGCCAGTAAACCTCCTCTGCCTCCCATTGACGATTAAGCTCGACCTCAAGATACTATTAAGTATCTATAGTATCTATTAAGTATGACATATACTATGTAAAATATTAGTGCACAAAATTTAGATAAGTTAATAAATACCTACAATTCATATCTAAAGTAGAGCAACTCATAGCATCTTAACAATAAGTTAATAAACATAGATATTAACAATAAGGAGCAATTTTACAATGCTATATATCATTGGTGCTATAGGTTTTTGCTTTTAGGGTACAACTTGAAATTGTACCTTTAACGTTACGGTACAACTTCATATTGTACCTATACTTTTTGTACAAATTCTTTTATGGTGCAACTTAAACGTGTACCTTATGTGATAGTACAACTTCAAGTTGTACAAGTTGTACCATAACATAATGATACAAATTCCTTTATGGTACAACCTAAACTTATACATTTAATGTTATGGTACAACTTCAAGTTGTACATTAAAGCATCAATGCTATATAGCATAATAGAAATGCTCTAACAATAAGCCACCTTCCCCTCTATACTAATGAATTTGAGAACTTGTAAATTAGATTAATGTATTGAAACCGAGAATGCATCCAAGACCTATTATGTATCTTTTTAATGTCCCTCTACTATGTTGATTTATCAAACATGTCCCTCAACTATTTTTTACATCAAACATGCCTCGGTACTTATATCAAACATGCCTCTGTACTTAAGTACCGAAAAAATTTATCAAACATGCCCTGATGATAAAGTCATATGTACTATAAAGAACCAGATAGAGGCATTCATCCCTTCATCTCGAAGTCTGTAGGCTCATATGTACGATAAAGAACCAGATCTTCAACCAAAAGTGCATACTTGGCCTGAAAATAATAAAGAAAAGGTGCAGTAGAAGCTGGAAGTGAAAACAAAAGTCGATGGGTACGCACCACAATATGATATACACGACCTGAAAAACTACAGTTGCTTAGTAGTTGAAATTGTCACTGGCACACTAATTGATCACATTCTCAAACCCAAAAGAGACCAGAAATACTCTCCAAGCAAGTCGTAGGAGATAAAAGAATGCGGGTTCAAAGAACAATGCATTCCTATATAGCATTACAGAGTTGGTTTGGTTGTTTTGGTGCTACCAAGCAGCTATTGCTATAGATTTCCTGTTAAATATCTGCACCCAAGTTAGATTACAGGACTGATAAAACAGCTCCTTCGGCAAAAGTTTTGCTTAGTCTGGAAGAGATCTACATGTAGCTCGCCAGAATAGAGGATAAGTGAACCGCAATCATCTGAACAAAGTTATAGCTCCTACATCACCTTTAAGCTCCGCATGGGAAATCAGGGCTCTATGCACTCATTCCTACCTTGAAGAAAGCCTGTGGTGCAAATCATCAGCAAGAGCCTGCCGCAAGCTATCTCCGAAATAATGAAACGATTTCTCACTCTCAAGCACCCTCGCAGGAGCGGCAGTCTCATCCGGCTCCCTCCAAACATCAGGCTCCGGCTCCCTCATTTGCTGGCACACATTATGCAACACACAGCATGCAACAATCGTTTGTGGGGCATGGCTTAGACCCACATCCAAATCCTGCAAGATCTTCCACCTACTCTTCAACAGTCCAATCGCATCAACTACCACAGACCTTCCTTTCATCAGCATTCCATCGAACAGGTTCTGTGAAGGAGTTCCCGACCCATTGGGCGAAAAGGGCGTCATTAGGAACGCCATCAAAGGGTAACACCAATCTCCAACTACATAGGGCCTCACATGGTGACCTCGAACATTGATCACCTTATCCCACACAATATCATCAGAGACCATCCTATTGTACAACAAACTATCCCGAAAATGGGTTGCATCATCAACAGCACCAGGCGCCTTCACACAAACATCCCAGAACATTTTCTTGTGATCCGAAACAACCTGCAGCTGGACCGAAGGATACCCATACTGACACTGATACAGGTTCGATTCATTGGTCGGGAAAGAACGGAGCCTAATCGGGGTTCCATCAATGGCTCCACACAAGTTAGGCAGTGAAGTCATCTCTTCGAAAGCTTGAGTAACCTCACCCAACTTGCGCTTACTAGTCGGGATCTTAACATACTCGGCGTAAAGCTTAGTAGCCAACAAGCGAGTAACCATGTTAGTGATTTTCGAAATCAAGTAGGGCTCAAGACTGTACCGGGAAGCAAGTGACTTGGCTGAGTAACCATGTGCGAGCCTGAAGAGGACCATCGACACAGCAAAATCGGAGGGGAGGGAGAGGTTGGAAGCGGCGATGTGGGGCTTCAGCTTCTCGACGACTTTAGTGAAAACAGGATAGGAAAGCCCGTAGAGAGCCCTCCACTGCGCATCGCGAAGAGGGGCCGACGACCAGTCGTTGCTGAGAGATTGGAAGGCTGCGACGGTGTACGCGCCGTTCGCCGGCGGCGCCAGGCGCGGGGAGTTGCCGGATTTGCGGCCGGCGGAGCCGTTCTTGTTGGGTTTGGAGCAGGCGAGGAAGGAGAGGAGGGAGGCGAGGGTGAAGAAGAGGAGAGGCGCGGCGGAGGAGGTGGATAGGAGGGAGGAGGAAGGGGAAGACGAGGTGACGGAGGAGGAAGATGGGGTGGAAGAGAGAAGGGAGATTGATGGGTCTAAGGAGTTGTGGAGGTGGAGGAGGTTTGAGAGCATTAGAAGGAAGGATTCGTCCATGGCGAGTTTTATCTAGGGTTTAGCAGAGTGGGAAATTTGGGGCGACTTAGGAGGGAAATGATTAGGGTTGATTTGGGGAGGAGAAGAAGAAGCTTTGGACGGAGAAATGAAATGGGAGGTAGGGAAGATTCGGGTTCCGGCGGTTGTATCGGGTCGGAGTTAGGGGGATTAAGCTATCGATCGACTCGACCCGATTGGATTTTAGTACAGACTACAGTAGACCGACCAGGTTTCGCAGGCCGCAGCGACGAAGAAGAAGCTCGTTAAAGTTCTTAAGCAAGGTTGACAAATCGGTTTATGCCAGTGTACCGGTTTTGTAGGTGGAATGATCTGACCATGGTACAACCAGTATTCATGCCGGTTGTGCCGGTTTTAATAAAATACATGAGGAAAATGGAAATCCTCAATTCCAAATAAATTAGTCATGAAAAAGCAATTAGAAGAATTATTTCACACAAAATAATTTATAGCTAAGAATTGGTAACTAATACTAAACTATTAGATGCTTAAAAATAAAATTTTATTAATGTTTATAATGATTTTTGTAAAATTTAGTATTAGTTATATAACATATAAGGTTAATATAGACAACAAAATTGCTTGTAGCCTACTAGTGTGTAAGGTAAACTAAAATGAACATGAGATACTAGATTCAAATCCTATAGAGGTTGTTTATTTTTGGATATAATATGTGTAACATTAAATTCCGGTTTCTGGTCTAACCGGCCGGAATTTCGGATGTGACTGGATCTGACCGGCATTGACCGGATTTGAACACAGTTAAATATCAGCCCCTTTCCAGCCGGTTTGCTGACCGGTACCGGTTGAACCGACCGGCATGAAACCGGTTTGACAACCATGGTCTTAAGGGACCATTTTCTTTCCACGCTAGGAGTAGAAGGTACATTTTTCAAGTGGGGTGGTTATTTTGTTTGTGTTACTTTTTTGGTGTATATTATACCGAGGTGTTCAAAACATCAAATAACTATCGAAATACAAATTATTAGTATAATTATTGTTGTGCAATAATGGATGATTAAAACCTCGTTTACCATTATTACTTTTGTAATGAGGTCGGCCACGTCAGTCACCACGACTCCTTTTACGTCGGATTACAATTAACTACTAAATTTCTTAATTTTTTTTCCTTTTTCACCCTTTATTAATTTATGTTCTTTTTCCCAAAACCTATGTCTGGCCAACGAGAGAGTAGCGACGGCAAGTGACACAAGCTCCCAACCACCGTCGCCTATCATACTTCCACTGCGATCGCTTCTCGTCGTCTTACTACAACCTTCCCTCTTTTCACCCCTTCTTCCCCCCTCCACTGTCTCGCCGATAAAGTCTGGTTCAAAGTTTAAGGCGGATACACATCGATTGAAGAAACCTTCGTCTTCTAATTCGTGACGGTAAGGTCTATTAACCCTGGCTCTTTCCATCGTCATCTGTGTCACATCATGTCAGTTAACCCTTTGGTTGTATTAGATTCTAGGGCTAATACCACTGGGAAACCCGAACTATTAACTTTGTGTCATTTGTGTCCTAAAGTATTCGATATGACATTTGCGCCCCAACCTATTATAGTTTTGTTTCATTTATGTCCTGACGATTTTGTTGACCGTTATATATAACGGTTGACCAGACGGTGGTCAACTTGATGTTGACTTTTGCTAACGTGGCAAACACGTGGCAGCCACGTAGATGCCACATCATTGACACCTCATATTTTTAATTTAAATAAAAATAAAATGGAGAAATTAAAACATGAAAAAAGAAAAAAAAACTTCTCACTATCATCTCTACCGATTAGCCTTTCTCTCTTCTAACATTGTGTTCTCCGCGCAAATCGCCCAAATCCAAATCGAAATCGCAATTTCCCACCACCGCCTTTCACCACACAATTTCTGGCTGCCGATTCTCTCCAGCCAAATCGCTCAACCTCCACTCCCAATCAAAGTCCCACCCCATTGAGAATAACCCTTCACTGTTATCACATCGATTTCAACAACGTGGCGAGGCCTACCTCCAATCGAAGTCCTACCTTGAGAAAAGCAGAGAGGTCTGATTCGGCGATGATTTTGATGAGGCCGCAATGCTCGTATTTGTCATCCCAGAGATGCCGGATTTGATTGAAATCGCAGCGGAGATGATTGAAATCCCTAGTTCCGCTCCGCCGCAACCGACGTGCCTAGCTCCGCCGCAATCCGACTGGCCTAGCTAGCCACCCATATTTCTATCTCTCTCTCTTACTAGATTTTGCGGTGATAGAGAAGGGAAGAATGGTCGATGGCGAGAGGGAGGGAGCGTGCGAGAAGCCCTTGAGGATTTGGGCGACGGATCTGTTTTGGAGAGGGGAAGCGGCGGCCATTGCTGGGGCCTGGGAAGCCAACCGAGAGGGGAAGCGGCGGCCATTCCTCAGCCGCGAATTCACTTCCTCGCAGTTCCGCATCGACGAGCTCATCCATATCAAGGAGCAGCACGCCGCCGGTATTGAGCTTCTTGTCGCCGGAGGAAGAGGTGGGTTAATCCAGCTTGGGATTGAAGAAGATAATGATTAATCGAGGAAGAGAAGGATTAATTGTGTCCCAAAAAATAATCCACAAATCATATTTGTTTTTTTTATTTTTATAATTTTCTTTTTTTATATGAAAAATAATTATAAATTAATAATAAAAGATCCACGTCACATGCCACATAAGCGCTTACTAGACTTTCTGTTAAAAACTGACGGTCAACGCTAGTCAACTCTAACGGAAAAATAGTTTAGGACACAAATGTCATATCGAATACTTTAGGACACAAATGACACAAAGTTAATAGTTTGGATTTCCCAGTGGTATTAGCCCTAGATTCTATGGTGGTGCTAAAACCTTATTTTGATGGTCGAATGGGATGTTTCCTATGATTTCTTGTTAGTAAGAAGAATCATGTCTCGAGGGCTCTTCTGATCGGCCAACACAAATGACGTTTTGGTGCCTCTCTGCGAGCATAAAGCTCCCTGCATTGTAAACAAGTCTGGTACTTTTAGGAATCCGGAAAGGCAGTTCTATTGTTGTTTGAGAGTAGAGAAGTGGAGTCGCGATGCGGCGAGATAGATGAGAAACGTGAGATCGTGAGGGACAGAAGGACAGAGGGACTGGGTGGCCTTGACAATTAGGTTTTTTTTGGATATCTGGGCTTTTGTGTTGTGTTGGGCTAAGATTTTTAGAAGGAATTTGGGCTTTAGGGCTGGGTTGGGTGCAAGGCAAGGGTGGTGCCAGTTTACCGGTTTTAACCGGTTTATATCTGTTGCGGTTTTTCTCCAAATACTAGAAACCGGAATTCGGATCGGACTGGGTCATATCCGGTTTCTGGTTACAACTAGGACCGTTTAAACTGACCAGTTTTCAGTTTGAGTGGAAAACTGAAACCGGATTCCCAACCCTAGGACACCTTTAAGACCTCAACGGCTGGAAAGTGCGGTCGGCGTGCGGCCAAATGGTTAACAATTCTAGCCGCTCGAACTTTCCTACCGGTTTTGGAAACCTGGCCGTCTACTATTAAAAAATTAAAACAAATAAATAAAAATGAAAGATGTTGGGAGAAGAGAAGGCAGTGGGGGTAGCTTCTGATAATTTCTTCCCTTTGACGGTGCCTCCCCCATAGTCGAGAGGCTGACAAGCAAACCTCTCCTTCGCCACCTGATTAAATGCGGGAGGCTAGCTAGCTATTGTTGTAATTTCATTAAACATCTTACTTTGACTTGGAGTTTGGATCGATGAGGTGATTGATTTTGTGGGAAGAGATCAATCGATAGTGAGGGGAAAATGCAATGTTCTCGAAGCAGAGGAGCGGGCTACTGAAGAAAGCTTGCGAGTTCTCTGTAATGTGTGATGTCGAATCTCGCTAGCTAGACTTCTTTACTAACAGAGAAAGAGGGGGATAGGGAGGGAGGGGAACGACGCTACCACTTATGATACGCTAAGGTTTGTTTTAGTTGTTGTATATATACTGTGTAAAATTACCAAGTGAAACCTACAAAAGTAAGTATCATTTTGGTCATTTAATTGTTAATTACTACCTTATGTATCTTTTACTTCTTATATTATTATTTTTAAAGTATAGGTTCTCTAACGGTTTTTTAACGGCTCAATATCGGTTGGACCACAAAAGTGTGAGTCATTCATGTTACCGGGTCATGCTCTGATCCGGTTCGATTCTACAACATTGGGTTTTAGCATCCCCGTACAATACCCATACCCGGCCGCCCCCACCAAGATGATTTCTTCATATATTAAAAATATCGGTACCATAATGTAACCTTTCAATGATGGAGATGAAAAACAAAAGAAAAGAGTTGAAATGTAATTGAGAGGCCATTCAAACCAAACACTAATTTTTTTTCCTCTCAATTCACCTTTCACTCTCTCACTTCTTTTCCCTTTGTTAACAAGATTATTTTAGTTATTTATCGTTTAATAGATGCGTTGCAGTTCGAGTATAATGATTTGGATAATATTGTACTTTGTCTTATGGATTAATGGATGTTTTAGGATTAAATGCTTTGAATTTGTATTGAGAATGGTTGTACCTTTGTTGATTTCATGATTTATTAGATCCTTTTAGTGTTATAATTGAAGGTCTACATGTTAAATTCTATGTATAGTAATAGTGAATATGCAGTATGAGTATTACCCATGAGGACCCAAAAATCGCGGGTATATGAATAGGGTTGCAAAACCTCTCCAGAGAATGAGGTGGGTATGAGTTTGAGTATTTGGAAACGAGAATGAGCGTGGTTTAGGAAAATCCACCCTATAACCCGCTCAATTATCTGCGGGGTTCACTATTCGTCGCTCTAATTATGTTAACACTTAAATACTAAAACAACTGAATGGCTAAACGTCACCCTAATTTTACTTTTGTAGCCCTAACTTTAAGGTAATGACTGGTATACTCCAGTAGTATACAATAATTTATGTAATATGACCGTTAGATCTCCCTTTTTGAGCTCCGATAAATCTCAATGGTCAATTAATATATTTTAGTAAATTGAACATGAGGATGGAATTTAGCGTATCGGGGCCTGAGGTTTATCCATTAGAGGTTAGGGTATAGTATCATGTCCCAAAATCTATTTAATTCATGGTCTAGGTAGTGATATCTTGCTAAAAGTAACTGGAGTATATTATACTAAAAGAGTACCGAGTACACGAGTTTGACCCCTAACTTTAACTGAATCGCTTTCGTCGCCCTAAAATTCAAATTTTATCGCCCTAAAATACATCAAATTGACAATCTTACCCTCTTGCCCAAATTTCTAACCAAAACCCTAAACAAAGAAAACGAAGAAGAAGGTTGCCACCTAACTCCTTTGTCCTGTTGCTGATAATTATTCTCTCCGGCCCACTGTCCACCTAAACCCGACCACCGTTGATTGCCTATTGTTGATGTTGAATCCTTCTATTGGTAATTAATCTTTTCATCATAAATGAAATTGTAGTCGGTTGGTTGGCATAGCCGTAGGGCCTCCTGATGAAGAAGCAATGGTGTAGAATACAACAAGTGTGCATTTTTTTTTGTTTTCCATGCGCCAGGAGGATTGAAAACCCATCTCCGATGAGATTAGGTCGGCTTCCTGACCTGTTCCAACTCGTCGGAGATGGATTTTCAAATTTGTTGTGTTATTTTGGTGTATTTGTAACTTGTAAGTCATTAATTGTTTTTTTGGATATTTTATTTTGTTACTGAGTACAGTTGTATATGTTTTGTTTAGTGTTGATATATATTTTGAACGATGATGCCCCGCTCACTTGCCATTCCGTTTTATGTAGCTGCAACAAAAGAAAACATGAGAAAATGAAAATGAAATTGTTGTTTTCTGAGAAACAAAACCTGCAGAAAACTTGTTTAGCTGAGAATTTTAGTGAATTCTGAAACTGAATTCTGAAAATGAAAACCTGTTTAGTTACTCATTCTTTTTTCCGATACTCTTACCATAATTTTTTCATTGAGTATCATACAACTCTACTCATTATTATAATTTTTTAATACAAATCACATTGTTTTCCGATACTTGCATGTCAGCCCACCATTTTTTCCATTGAGTATCATCCAACTCTAATCATGATATCTAATCATAATATCCATCATATTATCTAAAATTACTAATGAACAAAATAGTTGTATATTTGGGTGGTACAAGTTGTAATAAGCACTGCAATATCATATTTGGGGTGGTACAAGCTCTGTTCAAAGTGATGCCAATGTAGTAATAATAATATGGTTCCAAAATTTGTACATAAATCACATCCATCCACACCAACAATGTTTGTGGTTTGATATTGTTTAGGCCTGGTTCGTACCAGGCGGTTTTGTGAGGCTTCACTGGCTTCGTGAGGTCCTTCTTAGGTGAGAGGCGGTCCTCGAAGTCCTGCAAGAAAAGTCCACAGGGGGTTTCCTGGGACCTCCTACGATGCTAAAGTTAGAGAGAGAAGGGGATGTGGAGTAAATAATAGAGAGAATGTTGTCGATAGGAGTTCCCATAAATGTGATCCGAGATGGGTATTTATATCAGCGAGAGCTGAGGTGAAGGCATTTAATTCTATGTCGGGTGGTTGGGGGCGCCTGAGCTCTGACCCTCTAAGACTGTCAGGTTCGTACTTTCGCCAGTCTCCGTACCAAGTGTTCAGAGGACCATTCGTCCTGCCTGTCGGGCGGTTCTCTGAAGTTTCGTTGAGAGGATGTCGGGCGGTCTTCTGGCTTAGGTGCCTCGAGGAAGACCGCCTTTCGCGCTCCTTTGGGCAGGACCCAGTTGCTTAATGGGCTTTTTAGCGATTCGTGGGCTTGGGGCCCGTACATCTTGATTATTGGCCCAACATTTGCCCCTTAGGCGTGAGAGGCTTTAGGCTTTCGCGGCTAATTATCTTTCTGCCATCACAAAGCGGTTTAGGGCCGCTCTGCCCATGACTGTCCGCCTTGCCCCTGGTCGCGAGGGCCTGGAGCGGGATCGCCTGAGGGGCGGTTTTTCATCTGCCCCGCGTTTGACTTCTTGGAAAGACGAGGGCCACGTGGCGCGCCTCGATCGCGGCGCTCTGACAAGGTTAGGCGAAGCGTCACCTCTGGTGGATGACCTCACCTTTCTTTAAGTAGCTATTTTGGGGGAAACTTTTCCGCCATTTCTGCTTCTTCTTTTGGGAAAGGTTCGTCTTCTTCCTCTCTTCTCTGTGGAGAGCTTTGAAACTGCGCCGCCGAGCCCCTATATATACCGTCACGGGCACTGCCAGGTAAGCGCTCTGGTTCTTTAGCTTTTCCAATTTGTTTCGCCTTCCTTCTTCGCGCTTCTTACCCTTCGCGCTTTTTGGTTTGCTTTGCGATCGTCTTTGTTGAGCGGCGTTGCGGCTTTGTCTGGGTTGTGGTGGTGACGGCGGCGTTCTTGATTCCGTCGCCGCAGAGAGATGTTGAGCGAGGAGAGACCGTTGTCCGCCGTTATGGAGGGCGAAGTTGCCGCCGACGCAGCCGCAGCACTCCCCATCGACCGCTCTGGAGTCCTCGTCCCGGGAACGGACCCGGCCAGTTCTGTGGCGCCGTCGCCTCCTGCCGCGAAGAAGACCACAGGAGCTTCTGCAGGGACCGCGTCGCATCCTGTTGTGAAGAAGACCGCGGGGGCTTCTGCTGGGACCGCATCTGGTATGCAAGGTATGACCCGCTCTTCCCCCACCCGAACTGCCTCTGAGTGCGTGTGGGATCTATCCGAGCTAGAATTATATGTTGGGAGTGGTTCTGAATTGTGTGACTGTTTTGTCAGTCTCTCTTTAGACTTAGATAATTCTTTTGCTAACACCCGCCCTGTACCAGCTTGGGGTATGACTACTTCTTCTGCGGTTGGGGATAACATGGGGGGAGTATGGTAGGGTAGATTTAGATAGCATTTTCCTAGAAGAAGATGAGACGGTTGATAGTGATGGGGTGCGTTCTGAGGCGCACCCGAGTACTTCCTCTTCTTTGGAGGTATTGGAGCCAGAGGGCGGGGTGCTCCTTCCGCGTGCTATCAGAGATCATGTGTACACGGTTTTGCGACACGAGGGAATGTGGGGCGGTCAGCCGTTCCACCTGAGGTGCTTGAATGGGGACCCGATCATGCGGCTGCCTTTAGGCCAGGGCAGGTTCTTTATCGCTTAAAGTCGCTGAACCTGCCCCCAGATTAGCATTATGCGGTCCCCTCAGTCGTTTGCCATACCGCAATTTGAAATCTAAAAAGCGAGTGTCGTATATGGAGTTAGCATCATCGAGCTTTATTGTTGTCCTACCATATATAGCAATTTGATTGGGACCTTATTCTATATCGATCTCAGTTGACGAAGTGTGGTTGTCCCTCGTACTTTGGGAACAATGTTTTTAAGGGAGGAGGAAGATTATAAGATCGAACCGATGTGACAACCCAGATAATTAGTGAAAGTTGACCCATTGTTACGAGATCGACCAAATGAAACTAGCCATGCGCCAGACTTCGATCAATTGGTCTCGAATGGCCTTTAGTGTTAACACTCTACATTAGTCGTTGACCTACATCATGAAATCTATACAATACTTAAAAGCATATTCATGGGTCGGATTTTCTCCAATTTGAATTTTCTGGCTCCACGTTAATTCACTTAAGGTCATGAATTAAATTCAGGGTAATTATCATAAATGGTCACAAACCTATTCACTTTGTACAAAATGGTCACAAATCTTTAATTTTGCACGTTTCAGTAAAACAAG